AGACATGAGGCCCATGTGATGATGCAACCTAAGGTGGTCGCGTGCGACAGATGAGGATCTGTTGAGATTTTAGTTGTAGGTGAGTGAGCCACACTTTTTTTTATGAGACACCAGATTGATTCTGTCTGGTATGTGTGCTAGCGTCAAAGATTTAGCCATGCATGCTTTTCGAACCCTCGTGGGGAGAGGCGGATAGCTCAGTAATACAGTTATAACATAAGCTGCGTGTGTGGATAACCTTGTTAAGATAAGGCTAAGACTTAATAAGTCGCACTTTTGTGAAGAAACGCGACTTGTGCAGCATTGGTTTCTGACCTATCAGTTAGTATGTTCTGTAAGGGAGAACATAGACTATGACGGGTAACGGGGGATGCACGTCTGATACCGGAGAGGAAGCCTTAGAGACAGCTTTCACGTCCAAGGATGGCAGCAGGCGCGAAACTTACCCAATTGTTTTTGTGACAGAGGTAGTTATGACGTATTCTTTAGAGAGAGACCTTGTTAGACATGGTCCATAGCGACTGGAGGGCAAGTCTGGTGCCAGCAGCCGCGGTAATTCCAGCTCCAGTAGTGCATATACATGCTGTAGTTAGAAAGTTTGTAGCCTATTTATGGATTGTTTTAGACAAAAGGACGACTCAAATTGACCTTTCATTTGACTAATGCATGAATGTAGAAGCGATTGAAGGCGATTGTATTCACCAGCCAGAGGTAAAATTTGATGACCTGGTGAGGACACACGGAGGCGAAAGCGATTGCCTAGAGCGTATTCAGTGGTCAAGAACGTAAGCCGGAGGATCAAAGATGATTAGATACCGTTGTAGTTCCGGCCGTAAATTATGCCAACTTGTGCTTCTGCTTCTGCGGAGGCGCATAGAGAAATCAAGAGTTTATGGGCTCTAGGGATAGTAATCCGGCAACGGACAAACTTAAAGAAATTGGCGGAAGGACACCACAAGGAGTGGATTATGCGGCTTAATTTGACTCAACGCGGGACAACTCACCAGAGCCTATGTGCAGGAGACAGTGAGCTTTGAGAGCGGACTGGATAGTACTTTGAGTGGTGCATGGCCGTTTGCAACACGTGAGGTGACTTGTCAGGTTTACTCCGGTAACGTGTGATGTGCTGTATGCAAGTATATTGTGAGACTGCAGGCGGTAAGCCTGATGAAGCGGCGCTATAACAGGTCAGTGATGCCCTTGGATGTTCTGGGCTGCACGCGTAATACAGTGGGAGCTGTAGATATGTATAGGTGGAAAAGTTCCCGAGACTGGGATCATGCTTTGTAAGAAGGATGTGAACGTGGA